ACAATTCACTAAGAAAACAGGTCTGTTTCTCTCTGTTCTTCAACACCTGTCGGAAATGACGGGCAAGGGTGTCATTGCAGAGATCATTGATCCTGTTAGCCTCAGCTCTGTTTGGATAATGAGTGTTCGTAAACTCCTGAACCTCTCCTCATTTGACAAGGAAGTTTTTGTCAACTTTCACTCCTTCTGATGATTTCTTGCTTTGTTTCAACTGAAATCACCTTTCTTTTTTTTTTTTAGAAGCCATGTTTTTGCACAACACTTGAATAAATGTAAATACCCTGCACTGAAATGATGTACGTAATAAACAAGGGAGCAAGCCGAATCCCAACGGGAGCTCTGTACTTCAGATATATTAATAATAGATTCTAAAAATAGTAGATTGTCATTGGCAATGGCAAAAGAGTGGAACCATCATTCACAACTTGTTCGCCTCATGTAACTGCCGAACGGAAAGTCCGTTGCTTGAGTCACATAACGGCCAAACAGAAAGTCCGTTGTTTGAGGCATACGTTATACAAGACACCACTGTACTTTTTATTAAAGTGGCAATAAACACTTTAGTCTGCTTATTTTAACATTGAGTATAAAATTGAATCACAAAGCATGCTTCAAGAATGCTTTTACACAGAATCCCATTACACAGTAGCTTGATATTCTGCACAACTAAATGTCGAGCTCCTGAGTAATGGGAATATCTTGCATCACACTACACCTAGCGAGTCATGACATCACACGGCAAATCTGAACAGGAAAGTGGGAACTGATGTTGAGAACCGAAGGCAGTCTTCATGCAATGCTGCCCAGCATTTCCAGACTAGGGATTTTTTATCAATTGACAGAAAATTTGGGGAATTTTTTGAAGTGAAATTTTTTCACTCTGATCTTTTTTCAGTAAACTAAAGCATAAAAATTTTGGCATGACAGAACATGTGAAATATTTGATCACAATGCTTAAACATTATGTTATTTGAAATTATTCATTAAAAAGTATTCAAAAACAATTCCTACTTCTAAGTGACAGAGTAACATGTTTCTTTTGCTTTCCAGGCTCCAAAAAGATAAGGTTACTATCACCTATATTAATTAATAAGTAAAACTAGTGGTAATAAATAATTTGAGGTAGAAAAAAGTTTTAAACTGGAAAAATGGTTGGTGATTTAAAAAAATTTTTCAGAGTGATCCATGATGAAGAGTTAGCAATTTGAGTTAGCAATTCAATTTATATCTAAAATGCTTTATAAAAACTGAATATNATTATGTTATTTGAAATTATTCATTAAAAAGTATTCAAAAACAATTCCTACTTCTAAGTGACAGAGTAACATGTTTCTTTTGCTTTCCAGGCTCCAAAAAGATAAGGTTACTATCACCTATATTAATTAATAAGTAAAACTAGTGGTAATAAATAATTTGAGGTAGAAAAAAGTTTTAAACTGGAAAAATGGTTGGTGATTTAAAAAAATTTTTCAGAGTGATCCATGATGAAGAGTTAGCAATTTGAGTTAGCAATTCAATTTACATCTAAAATGCTTTATAAAAACTGAATATTAATGTGGATATCATCTTTGCAAAATTAAATTTATATTCTTGTTCTTAAAATAAATTTAAGTTGTTATAGTTGTTACAATGTAATAGCTAGAATTTCCTTTAATTATATCAAACAATGCTTATAACTTTTAGCTCTCATCTATTATGAATAAAAGTTTGTTTTACTTAATTCATTTCTGTTAAAAAAAGAAACAGTTTTGTTAGTATCATTGCTAGTTAATAATAAGTCATAATATTATGATCTGATATATCATGCATTTTTGCACATTAATAATTTAGCTCTATTTCCTGATATATATATAAGTGAACCACCTGTTTCATCCTGGGTCAAAGGTGTTAAAAAAACAAAAGGATTGTCCTCATTGGGAAATTAACCATGAACAATGAGGGCTCTTGGCTCTGCTAACAAAGGTTAGACAGACCATTCCAAAGACCAAAGGAGACAAATAGAGAGCCAAGGCAGAGGAGGAAGTAAATGAAGAATTTACATTTCACAAATAATATAAACTATTTGCAAATATATATCATCTTTAATAACATACAACTGTTTTCACATCATTACAGCTTGGATAGAAAACAAGGCCAAGTGTCACACCAAAATATCTATATCTATGACCGAATTAAAATTAATTATATTTGATGTAGATACTGTATGTTGCTAACATTCTTAAATTATTGTATCATCTATTTGAAACTGACTTTTAAAGCTACGGTTACTATGGATGCAAATTCTGACAAAATTTTGTTCTGATGAATTCGTCCGAAAAAACAAATACCTGGTTTCCAATGAGAGTGTTTACTTTGGCAGTGAAGGATATGTCAGAACATGCACGATGTAGTCAGAACCATTCGAGCATCCAAATAAGTTTGATTTTTTCATGCATTCTGACATTGAATTTAGAGCGTTTTGGTTTTTTCAACATGGATATTGATAAATTGATTAGTCTTGTGTTCGAGAATAGGTGTTTGTGGGACATGAAAAACAAACTATCACAATAGAGATATTTCTCATTTTGGTCTCATTCTGAAATACTCGAAAAACTTTTGCGGGTTATCCAACAAATCTTGATATAACATTTGGAACTCTCTCTTATCGTCTCTTATGGAAAATAAGTGGTTAACATGCTCTGTTTTCCCACCACCTATCAACAATAACTTAATCAACAGACTTTCAAGAAAATAAAACTCATCAAGTTCGTCCATTTTGCTGGGATGCAGAAACGTACTGACTATCAGAAAACGCGCACAGTGTAACCACCATGTTCTGACGAGGATTTTGGACGTACTCGTCAAAACAAAATTTTATCAGAATTCGCATCCATAGTAAATGTAGCCTAATACAACTGGAAGAAACATTTGCCTACAGTAGGATCCATATCTGCAACTGTTTATTTTTTTTTTTCAGGGGCACAGAATAAAGTGAAATTAATTTATAATAGAACTACATATGTGTACTTTTTTAATATTTACTTTTAGTGTCAGACCAAATATTTGGCATTACGATAATCCCCGCTAACTAAAACTTTGTATAACTCAGAAAATTTTTTTGACAATACAAAAATTATAATTAACGAATGTTTTCAACATCCACAAACCTTTGCAATACCATGTATTATGTTACCATAATCAGTAAGTTACTAAAGACTGTACGTTACTATATGCTGTAGTCATGAAATTTTTTGGGCCCATTTCCTGTAGTAATAAATTCGGCAGTACAGGTAGCCCTCGGTTTATATCGGTTCACAATAACGCCACTGCACAATTTGCTGTTTCGCTGTGTAATTTCCCGATTTTCCCTATACTAGATTTGACCAATCCTAGTGAGACATGAGTCTACTATGACACCATGTGTCATGGCAGAATCATGGCTCATTGGGATTGGTCAGATCTGGACCAATAGAGAACGTTCCACAAATTGTTAATTTGAATGAGCTGCAGACCCGACATAGAGCTACAGAAGAACGACAAAGAAGAAACTCCAAGAGTTATGAAAACGGCATATCTAAAGCATATCCTTTCAACTATGGAAAGTTTGATGAATGAACTTTGTGAGTTAGACAATGATTGGGAGCGAAGTGCAAATGTAAAAAGGAGCATCATCGCATCCATTTGACCATATTCTGAAATTCTTAATGAAAGAAAACAAAAATGTAAAGAATTAAAGATGGATACTTTTTTCCGAAAAATGTAAGAGATCCGAAACTAAAATTTTTTAATAAAAACATTTTACTTTATTTTATGATACAAATTTAATTTTTTAAATGTATTTTGTATTATATTGTATTAATAAACAAACTTATTTGCTTATTTTTCACTTATGTAAAACCTAACCCTATATCTCACTGTAAATATGGGTTCATTTTACGCCGATTTGATTTGCACCGGCTTTTGTAGGAACAGAACTGCAGTGTAAACCGAGGACTACCTTTATAATCTCAGTTCAGTAAAACCATATTTATTTACAAAGTTCATGTCTGTCTAACATGTATAGATATATCATTTGATGTATAGGTGTATCATTTGATCATTTCCCAACTGAAATCCTTATATATGGAGGAGTGACCACTCCTCCATATATAAGTTTGAATAAGGATTAAGCAAACTATTTGAACCAATCAAACCTGATTTTGTTTGATAACATTGATTATTGCTTGCAGTCAGTTTTGATTTTTGGTAAGATTCTAACTTCGTGTGAGTCAAGAACTCTCATATCGGTATCTTACCCTCATATCTTCGCCTCCCCTCTGTGTCACAAAATCATGGGCACCAATAATTTGAATATAAACAGTATGTTTACCACGTGCTTCGCGACTGAACATACTAAAAAATCACTCACCGGCTTGCCTCCTATCTTGTTTGTTGACCAATTGGTTTCGTTATCAGTTTGTACTTCGGCATCTTTGATTCCAAGTAATACTTGATTCTGAGACATTTTATTTCGCTACATTCGAATCTTAATTAAAATATACTACTACACTAATTCGCTTAACTACCAACTTGGACGTTAGATGGCGTTGTACGTGTTCCAGAAGGGAAAAACTTCATAATAAATTATTTGTAAATCATTAATTTGATTAAATTAATATTATAAATATTAAATATTTAATCTTTAAATGTTTTGTTTGCCTAAATTTTTAAATATTAAATATTTACTGTTTTTTATTTTTTCGCTTTCGGTGAAGTTTGCTACATTTTCGATGGGCTATATTTAANAAAATCCTATGACTGAATGACGTAAAGATTACAAGCAAGCGCATTACTATCGGAGAAAATCGATTTAAAGTACTGTATGTGTACACTTTAACAATACTACAAACACCAAAATCAAGGTCAAAGAATATTTTGACCGTCAAATTTGTATTGCCAGAATCGTCGTTGCATACAAATTTGTCTATGCTATTCGCCTGCCACCGATACGAGAAACGAGACGGTTCTATCTGAATAGTGGACAAAGACGTCGTTACAACTGTACTGTGTACTGTACAGTACGTGCTTGTCTCACGATCAGACAATCATCTTTCCTGGTGGAGGGTCAAGAGTTTGCTCACCGTGTGTATGTGCCCTCACTGCCCCCAACACTTTTTCAAACTTAAGTCAAAACGGCCGGATAGCGGAAAATTCCGTGATCCTGGTTCCTTCAGCCCGACGATGCGGCCTTTATCAAATTCCGTCAGCTGTGTGTAATGTCTTTGACTGCATCGTTCAGGCACGCCCGGCATTCGAAGACTTCCAAACGACAAAAGCACTGAAAATTCTAAATGTAGTGAGCCTTTGCGAGTTTTTTTTTCCAGAACAAGTTTGAGTACTCTTGGCATCACCTGGAGTGTAAGTAATTGGACTATAACTAATCATTTACATACTATCTGATAAGTGAGATGTAGCTATATGTCGAGTTTTGCAGCGATCAGACAATCTTGGTTTGGAAGTTAACTGTTTTTGTCAATAAGTGTAAAATAAAAAGAGCAGAAATTAGAATCTACGATATTTTGTGGTCACCCCGTCCCGCCTCGCCAGGACAGGGTGACCACGTGGAATTTTCCTGATTTTCTCCACGTCTGTAACGCCTAAATAGGGGCCAGTTACTCTTAAAGAGACTTCCCGGAAGACATTCTCCTTAGGCAGATCGACCTAGTGTTGCGTTGCCATAGCATTCCAAAATATCGTTTGCTTTGTTTTATTATGTTTTGTTACTATTTTTCAATTTTGAAAATATTTTTACTTTAAAACGATTATAAACTTAAATTATGTTGTTTAGTAGGGATGGGTTCTTACCTGCAACGAATCCTCGAATCCCACAAAGATTCGAAATCCGTAAATTCGGAGTTTCCGGAATCCATCAATGCTAAAAAAACTCAAACAAGTTTTTAATCACTTTATCATAAAGTCTTTTTAGAAAGTCTATCTTCAGAAAGTCTTTTTAGCACATTAATTGTTATAATTGATAAGAGATCCAGAATAAATTCAAATGTTAGTGTTCTTAAATAAAAATATCGATAAATGCTTTTGAGTTTTCACAATGCCCAAAAAGTCTTTGGATGTAAATGTATTTATTAACTTTAAAAAATTAGCTCTTTCCCCAAATTTTTTACGCAAGTAAAAAATTTTACACGAGCAAAAAATTTATGACATTTGATAAAAAATTTGACATTGTGACATTTTTAAAAAATTTCCTAAAATCTTTTATAAAATTATAAAAGATTTTAGGAAATCATATTTCATTGTTTTTGAAGAAAATTGTTTTTACAATTTCATGAACTAAATTTAAATTTACGTTTGGTATTCTCAGTATTTACTTTTTTAACACTATTTACAGTAGAGCATCGATTATCCGACTCAATTGGGAACTGGTGTTGGTCGGATAACTGAAAAAACGGATAACCGAAAAATATGAAAAAAACATTATTAGTAGAGGAGAAGGTGGTATTATGGAACACTGCGGGTATTATGGAACCACCCCATTTCGAACTGATAATAAAGGCGAACTGTAGCGGAATGTGGCTGAACTGAACTAGGCAGACATCCATAGCAAGGGGAAAACCCGTTTTACTTCAGTTAAACGGTTGTCCGTATTTAATCAGCAAATTTGTTTTTTTCAAAATTCACAAGTTTTGAATGCTAAGTGAATTTAATTATTTTTAAAATATAAATCGTGTAGTTGTAGGTTCACTGGTGCATGTATTCCGTTCCAGAGACTTAGGGGTACATATTAATCTGTGTGATGTTCACGTTTTTTAAATTTTGGTCTCGACAGACATAAGTTAATTCGAGATGGCGATGCGTGAAATACGGACCCCTTTGGTGCTTTTACAGTAATATGGAACTCAACTCCTCCGAACTCTCTCTTTGCAATCAGACATTCGTCCGGAGCAATTTGGGAAAAAGACACTAGGTAGAAAGTCTGAAAATATCGAAAAAGAGCTGCTGGAATATATATTGTTGATGGAGGTCATATTTTTCTATTATAAAAGCATTTTTGCGATAAAATACATTGGAGTAAATAATTTTGTAATTATTTAACATTTTTTGTCCTTTCCTATTTGTTTTTGGCTACATTAAAGCATTTTTTTGAAAATATACAGTAAGGTTCCATATTACCACCCGATTTTCTCTAAGCCTACTTTCGGACTTTTTGTACAAAAGCCTTCAAAAACCATACTTATAATTACACTAGCGAAAAATCCAATTAGGAACATTTAGTTTACTAGTTACCAGTACTTTTCGCACAAAAAATGTGGGTGTAGTTACGATACCTTGTTTACAATTCACTAAAATATAATTGGGGTTCCATAATACCACCTTCTCCTCTATATTAGTATATCTCATGTAATTAGTATATCGCTATTAACCAACTTCGCGTTGAATTTTCATCGATGGTAAGCCTAACAAATTTTTTTTTTAAATAATAATCGTCGCTATTGTATCGTTAAAAATTATTTTTAAATTATTTTATTGCTCACAAAACAAACCACCACTCATAATTAGAAAATTAAGCCTCGTTTAAATACTGGCCTCCCTTTCATGGTCGAGCCAGTGTTGCCAGCTAAAACACGCAAAAATTTAACAAAAATAATATTAAAGTAGGCAAGACATGGCCAAATATTGTAATACCACATCACTAGCGGGCATTTGAATTTGCCGATTAGAACAGTCGGTTAACCGACGTGACGGTTAATCGGGGGTCGGATAATCGATGCTCTACTGTACTTGTAATTGTATATTATTTGCTGAAGATTTACTATTTTTCTTTATAAATAAATCTGGAATTTTTAGTTAAAGTAGCTTTTTATTTAAAATTTTTTTTGTTACGTTGTGATGATCTCACGAGCGTTGTTTGTATTGTATGATGACACCGACTCCGAACCTTTCTGGCATCTGGACGGTACAAAGTTTAAAGTAAGGAGTATCAGTCCCATTACATATTGGCACCTGTAACCAGTGCCGGCCCGAGGCAAGTTTTAGGATGGAGCGAGATCCTATTATGGCGCCCTGGAGTGGAATCCCGCCCAAGCACACGACCCACGCGCGTCTCAACATATAAGGCCATTCACATAGTGGCTACACGTTTGCAATTAAAATATCGAAAAGTGAAAAAAATTTTTTTCTTTAATTTTCTTTACCACTGAGGCGCCTCTTAGGACTTAGCGCCTGGAGCGGCTGCTTCGTTCGTCCTATGGTAGGGCCGGCTCTGCCTGTAACGGACTTGCCGACCGACATCGGTGCTGCTAGACTTTTAAAATCTCTTGCAATTAATACTACACGTCTCAAAGCTACAGATAACACACTTGTATTAAAGATTCGAGAATTCGAGATATCCATAGACTTTTCAAGATTCGGATTAGGATTAGATTAATTTTTGGATTCGACCCATAATAACATAAATAAGAATGGTGTCAATAATAATGGAAATTATGACTTGCATTTTGATATTATTTTATATCACAGTTTTGGTATCGCTTTAAAACGACATTAAAACTGTGATATAAAATAGTATCAAGTTAAAAAGTAAAAAGATCGTCCTTGGTTTTCGGTAACGAGTTGACATCATTTCCGGAATATCGAATGCTCTCTCTTGAAAATATCCAATGACAGCAAGAAAAGTTACTCAGAAAGATTGATAGTGGATACCTTTTTTGAATATTTGTACATTAGTAAATTCATTGGAGTTCTTTCGCTAATAATTTAATTGGGCAACTCTACATAGATAAATTGTTAATTTTTTTTTCGATTGAGACAATTCAGTTTTTCAATTTGAATATTTTTTTAAAATTGAATTTTGTTATTGAGTGACTAAGTTAACGTTAACCCATAAGATATTAATAAAAATTAAATTTTATTTAGAATTGTTTATTGGTTTGGTTTAACCACCGACGCAAGGCACACACGGGCGATTTGCGAAGAGGGAATTTTTCCAGGAAGATTTTCTATGGGATATTGGCTCTTATGTAAGTGTTGAGCATACGAAGAAAACTTGGAAGACACGTGTCCAGCCTATTGATCAAGCGTGAACCCGCGATCATCACCAGTGTTCAATGGTTTTATCCACTCAGTCACGGATAGGCCAGAATTGTTAATCAATTATCGTTTTCCAATTCTCAAACAAAATATTTTAATATATTAATTAATTAATTTAATGAATAACACATTTTAATATACAACATAAACCTATAATGTAATTACGCTAGTTGCTGATAGTCAGGACCGGATTTGAGGCGATTGGAGCGATTTGCGCCAATCGGGCCCGGCGCTTGAAGGGGCCCCGTAGGACATCAAAATTTATATACAGTATTTAAAAATAGTTTCAAATTACAAAATAGATTAAACAGTTTAGCGATCATGTCGATTGAGGATCAAGAAGCAAGCCAGTTGGATTTTGATAATATTTTAGAAGATTTTTCAGAACAAAAACTTCGGAACATATAAAACATCTCTTTATAGGTTTATATTCAATAAAATTCAGTTATATTCATTCATCAACACATTAAAAGACTTTTAATGACAAAAATTTATGTAGTTA